CCATTATAAGTATTATATCACAATAACATTCATTTAATTAATTAGTTTATAATATTTGTGTTTAGTTTTACATACTAAAAAGTAAATTGTATAATAAAGTAACATATTTTAACTTGATTCTTATTTTGGGTTATATACTTTTAAAAATTTTATTTTGATACCTAAGATGTAAAGTTTTAAACATTTAACCGGTTGAAGACTAATTTTAGATTAAAAAAATCCATCCACATCACCCGCCACATCATAGCATGATAAACCGGTTAATGCTTCAACCAGTTACCCAKATACTTAAATGTTTAAAACTTTACATCTTAGGTACCAAAATGGAAAGACGTTATACTTTGTCGGTGGTTYTGGCTCAAGGCTGTTTTGTTTATGCACGTCCTTCGTAATACATCAATCATCTATATAATGATAAACCAAACATTAAACAAAAGTATCAGTTACATCCATGATTGATACGSCATTTCCCATTTCGTATCAGAACTAGATGATACAATCGCTATAACTGATATTTTCTATACAGAAAAGACTTTTTTCACTATCTCTTCCGAGTGTTGACCAAGGGTCCAACCCTCATTGACTCGACCATTCAATATGAAATCATATGTGATTTTYCGTAAGAATATGAAATCATAAAATTGTTCTCAAATAATAAACAATCAATCAAAACGAACCCTTAATTCAAAAACAAACTTATTTCGAGTCTCAATCCAATCCTAAGGGGGATGACGGACTCATAATTTTTTTCAAACGGTGGCACCATTTGACTATAAGAAAAAGATATAGGGAAAAAATTTCAAACGGTGGCACCGTTTAACTATAAGAAACAAATATACGGATTTTTTTTTCAAATCGTGGCACCATTTGACTAAGAAAATGACATTAACAAAATTCGAACTTGGGTCTGGGGTGGAATAAAAACCTTGCAAACCAACTCTACCAAACAAAACTTATTCTCATTGTAGTTTCAAAATACTTATAGTGGCACACAACAAATTAATATGGTTGCACATTTCACGAACCTAAAAAAATTTACCCTTCGACGGATGAATCATACGGTGGCAGATGCCACTGTATGCACAACTATAGGTCCATCTATAGAGGGGTCCGTATCCTAGGACTTAACACGGATATGACAGATGTTGGATGTAAAGTCAGAAAATCAACTTTTAAACATGTTTTGCATTTTTTGTATTTTTGRAGTTCTGGAACTGATGTAATAATTACGTTCACACGAATATCRAGATTCGACATCAAACGAAAGTATCATTTATGTTCAAGATTGATATGACATTTCATATAAAAACCAGATAATAACAATCGTTATAACTAATATTTTATTTAAAGAATAAAAAAATTTCACTGTCCCGTTCAAGTGTTGACCAAAGGGCTAATCCACACTGACTCGAACGTACTCAATGCAATGTTTTGAATTTTTCATTTTATATATCATTTGGTCGTAAGGATATGAAGTCATAAATCGTTCTCAAATAATAAACAATCAATCGAACCGAACCCATAATTCAAAAATCATCTTATTTTGAGTCTCGAACACGGGTTTTGAACTCTTGAGTCTATCACGGATGTTGGTGTCCCATCATCAATCTAAAGTCAAAGAATCTCGACTTTTAAACRTGTTTTGCATTTTTTGAGTTTTTAAGGTTCTAGAATTGATGAAATAACTAYTTTACACAAGTGTCTTGAGAACCATAGATAGCAAATATATTAAAGACCAGAAATTATGGTCCTAAAACCCTAAGCCCGTTTGGCTTGCAGGATTCTTTTTGAAGGATTTGGATTTTATTAATGAATTTGAGATCAYTGGTGCGTTTGGTTTATAGGATTTGAAATGAAATTGGATTTCATTATTTACAAATAATTTATAGAAAAAWTCATAAATAAATATAAAAATAATTAAATTACATTTTTTATTAATCGATTATTACAAAACAAATGTTTTTAAATTTTTTWAAAACTTTATTGCATACAATCCTATAAAATCYCRTGAAATCCCGAGCACTCCYTAAAGATTCCAAACTCCTACGTTTGAAGCATTTCAAATTCGGACAATTCAACAAACCAAACATGGGATTGGAATAGATTTGATATRCAAATCCCCCCAAATCCATTTCATTCCTTTRAACCAAACGAGACCTAAAGGAGATGGAATCAATCATGTGAAATCCTCATGGTGTGGCCCCYTTAGGTTTGAAATTAAATTAGGGTTCTTGCCACAATATCATTCATTTGGGTGATTGCCAAAAGTCAATTGGATTAACCCAAATTATCAAGTTGCATGTCTCCTTGGAAAACATAATATTAGAATACTAAATAAAGGAAYCAAAATGGTTATAAATGATTAGACTATAACAAAATTAAGTATTTATACGTCTAAAATATCTAAACGTTCTAATARGATACTAACTTAAGTTTATAGAACCAAACTATAACTTGTTATATATCTAAAAATGTTGCAATATGTTTATAGGAATTTTTTGAGCTTTTTAACAAGTTTTTAAAACGATTTTAAAATAAAGTGTTATATTAATTATTTTATATGAGAATTTTGAAAAGTGAAGGATGGGCTGGAACACATTAGGACCGATTGGGGGCATGAAATTGGTCCTAATGGTTCATGACCAGTTATAAATTTTATCGAATTTCAAGACCCATTCAGGACTGGTTATGTATGGAACTGATTTTTCAAATTTCTTTTAGTTTTATATGATAATACTATTATAAGAAAAACTAAATAGCACAATATAGTAGAGAAGGGGGGAATCTATAATTATCATTAATCGTAAGTCCATTAAATAAGGATGAGTTACATGTAGATAACCATGAGATCTATTAATTTTTATTATATCTCTAATATGTCTACCTCTATCCACCGTCATATCCATTTGATGATGACACRTTTATCMTACAACAAATACAAGTTCTCCAATATCTTTTATAAAATTTCCAAGTTCTTTTGGAAAAAATTAATTTTTTTATGCACCAATTAACGTGTATTTCAATACTAAATTCCAAAAATCATAATTACAGAAAACAATAACATGTTTGTGTAAAAATACTTTTTTTAAAACTAGACCGTAGCAGATTTGGACCGGCCAGATGGACCAAGACTCGTTACCGAACCGGGACCAGCCAGCCCAATTTTTGAAGAAACCGATTTTAGTCCTTGCCCAGAGACCGATTTTTGGCAATCTCACCGACCAAATATCGATCGGTATCGCATAAACGAACCACGCAAAAATTAGTCGAATAATTTGTTGCTATTTTGCAACCATCTAAAAATCAAAATCTAAGAACACTTTACGATATAATTGTATACGTTATCATATATGTATATATTTCATTACATAACTCAAAATGGGTAGAAAATATAAGACCCAAGACCCTYGTCTCCTAACCCCCTATAAAGAATGCTGCCAACAGTAGCAGARATTTTTAAACGTATAACGACCCCAAAAATACGGCACTTAACAATCGATGTGCTCGAAAAARAAGAAAAGAACCCAACAATTTTACTGTTCGGAAAATAAAAAAGAACGAAAGAAAATAAAGAATGGACCTTTTTACAACAATCAAACCTTATGTTTAATATTTGCAAACATAAGAATTACGTACGTACGATTTCCATGGCCTTTACTCGTGTAAAAATTGGAAGGCTGGATTCTCGACAAGTTCGACCGCGGGTTTCACGTCTGCAAAATCTTTTACTTGCAGGGAACTTGAGAGATCATCGACAGAGAACGGTATGCTGTATTCACAACATGGGTTGTTAKTTCGTATCAGTACTTTACAATGCGGATACGGGATCTTTTAAATGGTAATAAAAAATAATTATTGTAATATAAAATAAAATTTAATTTAATTATAAAATTTAGTTACAAATTATAATATGAAACACTAACGAACCAGTCCCAATTTCARTGGTATACAGTTAAGGGTCATTATTAACCATTATAAACTCGAGTTTAGGCTTTGAAATGCTATTGTAGCCTCTCAATTTTGCGGCGATAGATGCCCAGTGGTCAAAAGAAAACGAGTTATGGTGGTGGCACGGATAAGGGTCATAAACAAAATTYACACTACAACGGAATATATTAGTGGTAGCATGTGACCCTACTACAAACCGAGGATTCTTGAGGATGAACCRAACCAAACCAAACGATCTAGTATATCTCGCTCTAGAATAGGATCTGGGAGGTGGRATGTACGTAAACCTGACCTCTAACTAAAGGACTGAAGTAAACCCTAATCGGTTTCTATATTTTCCTGAGGATGGGATTGGGTRGGGATGGATGACCGGGTTGGGATGGTAGATTCCTAAAGAATGATAGGGAATTCTAACTTTTGGCATACAATAGAAAGAAAGACGGATGAAGTTTTAAAACGTAGCATGTTACTAGGAATTAGAGTGTCCTACTCCTTTTTGTCTTTTCTTGAATGGGTCAAATATGAAGGCTTAAATGTTACATGCACACACACACACACTTATATGTACATGGGCGTAACACAGATTATCATTTCTCAGTTTCCAAAAATTGAAGATACAAATCAAGATATTGACAAAAATAGCATTATAAAAGTTGGAGGGGAGGAGGCAGACCAAGAAAAAAAATTCAATTGATGGCACCATTTGATGATTGTAAGGATGAAAACTTTAAAAAAAATTGACAATTATTAATAGATTTGTTGGTTGGACGTTTGTGTTTGCAATAAAAGGTCATTGGTTCAAGTCCTTGCATAACCGTATTCGTCCAAAAAAAAGTATAAATACAATCGCAATTTTAAGCAAAAAACATGAATATAGGGCACATAACGAAATCTTACAGTGGCACCCTCTAGGAAAGTAAGTTTTTTTTTTCAACCGTAAAGTGATCCCCCACATAGGTCCGCCCCCAGAGGGGCCAAATCTTATCACAAAATTTTCTGAAAGTGACAAATAGGAAAAGGGATTGGCTCCAGGTCTTGGGCCTGTGACCATCCCAATGTTTGAACACTCTAACCAGTTGAGCTAATAGACCAAGATGTAAACATTTATTTGCTTTCTGCACTTCACATTTGATCATTTCCCAATAAAATACTATAATTAAYGTGAAAACTGTGTTACAAATAGTAAAACATCAAATGTGGTGCAAAACTATTCATTTACACTATATTCGTTGTTAAAGTTTTAAAGTTACAAATTAATCTTTCAAGTTTAAGATTTATGAATTTTTATTTTGTTCTGTTATATCATGACATTAATTTATGTTACATATACTATATTACAAAATAAATTTACAACTATTTTAGTGGTTCTAATAAATGTAATTAACTCTGAATATGAGAGGACATGTCCCCCCCACCCGAAATTGTCCACATTATGTTCGGGTCCTATGTGTATATGTATATGTATGTGYATACGCATTCGTCTGTTTGTATTAAGATCTTAGTGATCGGCAACTGAATTTGGGAACCATTAAAATCAGAGTGACYGGCAACTGAATTTTGGGAACCATGGGAATTATGAGAAGGCTTATTTTAACCTGCCACTGATTGCGATCACGAGCTTCTAAATTTCTATTGTGAGTTGTGACACATAAGAATTTGGAATCCAAAATTACCTGGAATTGTCATCCAGTAAAAACGAATTGCTGGCAGCATTGTTGGAGTCCTCGGTCATCAATATCCTCATGCTTGAAATGACCTGTTAAAAGACATGGCCAAGTAATTTTTACATGATATTTTGCAGAAGTTCGAGCCATCACAATTCTCGTAAAGATGGAATTCTCAAAATCTAATACTTACATCTGGAGATACACTTCGGGTGTTATAGTTGTCATCCCAGTAAAGAGTGCATATTCTATACAATTGCTGGACGCTTAGAATCTGGGAACAAAAAACGGTATCAAGTCAGTCTCAGAAGGAAAACAAATGCATTCTACAAGTCTCATTTCGGYGTAATAGTGTAAAGCATTCAACTGGGGACGGTGTGTGTGTTTTSGGGGTAAACAGAGTAGGCATGCCAATATAGATAGTTCTAGAAATCCGACATCCTACATGATATGCAAATATGTCAAGACTTAAAAGTCTAGAAGATTTYAGCCTATTCAAAGGAATCTCTTTAAAGTTTACTAATTATGTACCTGCACGATGCAGTTGGATGTAGAATTTTATTGAAAATAAAGAATGAAAAGTTACTGCAGTTTGTCACTAAAAAATCCGAAGTTTATGTTTAAATAAAATAGAAACTACAAAGCATTTTTTGCTAATTTGAAGAACCAACAAAAAAATCCCATGAATATATCGATATTGCTTTCAAATTAAAGATTATAAAATTCTCAATTTTTTGGTATAAATTGTTTAATCYAAAATTTTATTATAATTTAGAAATTTTGTATTTAAACAGAAAGATGTAACTTATTATAGTTTTAATGGAGTTTTTGCTTGTAAATAAAGATAACGATGAAGTATTCCATCGTCTTGGGTYTAGGGTTTAGAGAGTTCCAAGAGGTTTACAAAATTGTATGTATGCAGTAATWACTTGTAAACTCAAATTTTAAGTAATTATGCATTACTAAGCAATACCTAATGCTTAATTAAGTTGTTTTTAAGACTTTTACTTTAAATCTTAAATGCATTATAATATAGTATAGACAACTCAACAATATCCTCATTATGTAGAGCGAGGAGAGAGAGAGAGAGGGGGAGGGAGGGACTGACCGGGCACAAATCATTGATGATTTCATCGTATGAAATTCTGTACTTTTGATGTATAACCTAATAGCATCAACACAAAGAACAATCATGTTAAGAAATAAAGCAAGGCATATTGCAATAATAATAATAAATTAATAATAATGAACAGAAACGAAAGGCTCTCCTCTGTAACTGAGGGGAGGGGGCAAATGAGACATGAACATCTTGGTCAGAAGGTACATACCAAGAACCCAACCGCTTGTCTAATATGCTTAAGTTCATCCCAAGCTGAGCCAGCATACTGCAATATAAGAAGACTTTTCAGTTCATTATATGCTTGATGGTTAAACAATGATATGGTTAGGTATTTGATATTACGACGAAGAATCRTATGAGAATAGGAGTTAAGRTGAGAAGTGTAAGAAGGGATTTGGACCCTTGATCACTTTTAATCCCAAAACAACCAATGAATTGCGCTTTAGAAGGGAATTGATCTAGTGTATCTCATTAGTGTTGATCGAGTGGTTCTCTTCAATTAGGATTGATCCAAGGATGGAGAACCCTTCTTACCCTTCTCACCATAACTTTCATAAGTTCTCGCGGTTATCACAATATATGTTCCCAAATGATTAAGCCCCTATACACACACACACACACACATATATATATATATAGAGAGAGAGAGAAACAACATCCAAAATGTTAGTAAAGCATTACCTCTTCTTTTGCCTGACAACACCACAGCTCCAACTCTGCTAACCCAGATTTAACATATTCTCCATTGCTGAACGTACAACACTCACGGCGCAGTARAAGACTGCATAGTAATGATATGCAAAAGCTAATTTTTTAGCACTATAATCAAGATATATGACACGGAAAACAAAACAAAGTGGAGTAAACTCACCTGTTAAATAGTTGTACATTGATATATGAGAAAATTTGAGTAAATATCTTCTGAACGATTATGGGGGGAACCTGAAATTCAACTGCTATAAGTTTTCTAACATCTATAGWACAACCAAGAGGCAATAGATAAGATACATACAAAATTCTCTTTCAATGTACTGAGGAGAGTATTCAGACAATCAATGATGCTTTGCCAGTGATTGGATTGAGAATCTCTGGTGAAGGACCGGCCTGATCGTAGCACTCCCTTGGATGCTCGTGGTGCCTGAATTTTTTAGAATTATAAATTAAATACATGTTGACGCTTTAAATGCATGTAAAAGTAGGATTTTTAATATATGGCTATAAGAAGAGTCGARCTGAAGGAAAATTGAAGTTCAACTACCTGAATACATGAGGTGAGGAATGCTCCCAAGTCCTTCTTCAAGTTGTCACGGATAATACCATACATTTTCTCCACATATGCTGTTAATTGCTGTTTGAAAAGCAAGGCTGGGTATTTGGCTTCAACCTGACGTACTACCTCAAGTGCAGCTGCTGCTGCAGAAAGGTTGACGGAAGATGGGGATGAACGAAATCCCTGTACATAGTAATAGAAAATCATATCATTGAGCATAAAAATATACATTAAGCATAAAATCAATAGTAAGTTTTAAGTATCGATACCATTGTCATTCTCCCAAACAGTGAAGTTGGAGGTGGAGGTTTCCGAACTGYATTGGCACCATCAGATTTAAGACTCCTTTGAAGTAAGAACAACAAGGTAGATGCATTTGATAACCAATATGCCATGTGTTCGTTATTATCTTGATCCTGCAATAAGGTGAACCTTCTTATATTTCACAAAATCCGATAGATCAAGAAAATAMATACCAAGGGAAATAAACGAGGCACTGGATAAATCTCAATTTACAATTTCCTACTTCTAGTTCTACTGTGGCACAAGAGGAAATAGAAAATAAAAGGATGTGCATCCTCGTTTCTAAAGCTGTTTCAGAAGAGTGTTATGGGTGATAAATTGGTGAACAATTATTAGGATTACAACAATTTAAAATGTAAACTTTTACCCAATCTAGTTCGGGTAAAAGACTCGGCAGAAATTGCAAATGGGTGAAAAGTGTAACCAACAGAAATATAAAAAACTGAACCTCTGGGGCTCTGGGACATTAATAGGAGCAAACTAGAAACACAATTCACAATATGTGCTCCCAATTTGTGGGCGGCAGAATAAGAGAGATCCTGATGACTCAAACTGTAAAAAATTGCACCATGCTCCACAAGATTCACCAACTTAAAAGAAAACAATTAAATCAGTGACACATGAGCAGGGAAACAATAAACCGGKCCTCAAAAGAACTTGCTTTTACCCAGCCACCATCAGATTAATTTATGGCATAAATAAATGTCCTGCTCACAAGTTAACTAATCGTTTTATTCTGAAGAGTGCTTCTTTATCATCTGGAAAAGTACCTCAATTGCTGAACCAATCATCTGTATAAGACGATCAAACACACTAGTCCTTTCGGCTTCAAAAGATTTCCAATGGAGAAGGCACTTGTATATAGTAAATGCTGCAACAGGTTTGCCTTGACTGAATCCAATGTCTTTCATAACACACTCGATTAGTGCATCAACATTCTCCTGTAGCAACATTCCAACGCATATAATACCWTTACCGACCATATGAAGTAGTAAAAAGAAGGGATAAAAGGATGCATATCATCTTAATGTAGTTCATACATGCTGACGATCAATCGGTGGTCTTTTAACCTTGCTGTCGAATTCAGTCACCAAATTCCTAGCAGGTGTTTGTGGCTCCTGTAAAKAATATGTACTCCATCAACATCCAAGCTCCACATATATTGATATGTGAAAAACAAAGAGAGCAGAGAGTAAATTATATTTATAGTATAAAAGCACTGCTACACATAAAATATTAAAATACATATAGTACACTGAATGAAACAAACCCCAACGAACTTTACAAGTGTCTGGCATCTATACTAAAAAAATGTAACAGAAAAGATTTCACAGATATTACAAGAATGGTATCGGTTTAGCAATATGAAAATAATGTATCACATTCAGTATAACATCGTACCTCATTTGTAAGGTGACCGTTTGTCATGCTCTGCCAGAAAATTAGTAAATGATTACAATGACAGGAAAGTCATCGGATCAGATAAAAAAAATGGAAAGATGAGATGGATCTAAATTGCTTTGTACAACCAATGCTCACCTTCATTTCAGGAGTTTGTGGATCACGAGTAGCAGGTGAAGAAAATGCTTTTTGTCGAAGAATCTGATTCTCAGATGCCATGTCAGAAACCTTTTCCTGAAGACTGGATGAGGAAACATAATTGGTACAAAGTGAGTCTCCAGTAAAGCTCTGGATAAGAATATAAGCTTTAAAGTAATCRAGCACAAACCTCTGCATAGCAGTTTTTAACTGAATAATTTTTGTCTCAGCATCCAAAGCTTGTTTCAACCTCTCCTCACTGAGTTTGTTTGTTTCTTCATATTTTTTYTCTGTATCATCGATTTTCTTCTCTAGAGAACCGACTAAAGCCTGAAATTATTTATCAAAAAGAAAGTATTTCAAGTGCAGGAACAACCACACAACACATAAAGACTAAAGACCAAGCTCATTAAAAGTAAATCCTGAAAATTAACCAATATCCTTGAGCCACCTTACCTTGAGTTTCTCATTTTCAGAAGCAAGCTTATTAGTAAGCTCATGGTTAACAACCGGGACCTCCTGGATGACTGGGACTCTTTCAACTGCCTTTTTGACAGTCTCTCGTTCCTTCACGAGCAACTCTTTAGTCTCTTTGAATTGAAGTTGCATATGCTGCAAAGCAGATTGTAGTTTTGCATTTTCCTGTGTTTTGGCTTCTTCCAAGTCAGCCTGCAAGAAAATAGTGTCATTGTACATCTAGTGGAAGGGAGAGCATCAAAAGGATCCAATGGAATGCACACTGTAAAAGCAGATAAAATAGAATCTACTATTTCATACAATCTCTGGGCACTCTTATGCCTATAGGTGCTCTATGGAGGCAGACCATCTGATGAATAACACTCTTCTAGTCTACTTTTAGAGCAATGAAGTGTTACATTATCCAAGTTAAAGRGTAACGATTCGTTACATATTTATTGCACAATCTAAACTACAACCATCATGCACAATTTAAGAACCTCCAACCACGTTACAGGTTCTAACATTCTCTTTCTATCTTTACATTTGGTCTTACATTTAACAAAAAAAAATCTAGTAGTTTACTTGTTCAATTTTATTCTACTTCTTACAGGTTTCAACTAGATAAAGTTGGTGTTGTGATTCAGGTTCACAAAAATKTCAATTAATAAACCATTAGCTCCTAATATATTTGGTTTAAACTTCAGTTTGCACTTTGTCTTGTAAAATARTCTCATTGTACATCTAGTGGAAGGGAGAGCATCAAAATTCAAAAGGATCCAAGGGAATGCACACTGTAAAAGCAGATAAAACAGAATCTACTATTTCATTCAATCTCTGAGCACTCTTATGCCGATAGGTACTCTATGGAGGCARACCAGTTTTCTCCAGTCTTTAAGTAATATTTGCCAGAAAATCAGATGAATAACACTCTTCTAGTCTACTTTTAGAACAATGAAGTGTTGCATTATCCARGTTAAAGAGTAACCATTTGCTACATATTTATTGCACAATCTAAACTACAACCATCATGCTGCAATTTAARAACCTCCAACCATATTACAGGTCCTAACATCCTCTTTCTATCTTGACATTTGGTCTTACATTTAACAAAAAAAAATCTAGTAGTTTACTTGTTCACTTTTATTCTACTTCTAACAGGTTTTCACTAGATAAAGTTGGTGTTGTGATTATTCAGGTTYCCAAAAWTTTCAATTAATAAACCACTAGCTCCTAATATATTTGGTTTAAACTTCAGTTTGCACTTTGTCTTGTAAATTTAGTGACAATAACCTTTTAAAATAGACCAACTGCAGAAAGGAGGAAGCCACTTATCTATACAGGGGGAGATGAAACTCTCGTATCAAAACCATTATGCAATCAGAATGTCATCATAACAAGATGAACAGTTTCATAGTTAAAACACAAAAGCTCATTGTTTGTGCTTACCCTCATGCGCTTCTCAAGCTGCAGTCTCCATGTCAGTTCCTCAACTTGCTTCTCAAGTTTATTTTTCGCAGCTTGCAGAGCACCAGTTTCCCTCGCAGCCTATATTTGAAGACCAGGAGTAAGAACCAAAGGCTAATACCACCATCAACAAGGTCCCATTTGGTTTCCGGGATTGGATTRRATTTGGAGGGATATGGAATTGAATTCCATTCCAATCCCATGTTTGGTTTGAAGGATTTCCTGGATTTGAAATCCTGGGAWTTTATTGAAATCCTACAAACATAGGATTTTGAAATCCCAAGGGGTAAGTTGGTATTTCGTGGGGATTTCATAGTATTTGCTTGTGATAATGTTTCAAAATATGTTAAAAACACTTGTTTTATAATGATCAATCGATAAAAAGGTAATTTGATTAGTTTCATAATTTTTTATAATTTGTTTTTATAAATTATTTATTAAAAAGAATTTCAATTCCATTACGAATCATACAAACCAAACACACCAAAAGTTTCAAATCCTTCCAATCCGAAATCCTCCCAATTCCAAATCCCTCTATGAAATCCAAATCACTCAAAAACATTCCATCAAACCAAACGGGCCATAAGGGAATTCTGAAAATGACTGGCATGCATTATATTATATCGAATTGTTCAGCAAGTARTAATTGATGATAGTTTCTACAATCTATTTCTATAAGAACAGCTAGAGGATGAGGAAGATATCAATGTCTGGGCCAGAAGTCTAGGGAAAAGTGCAASAGTACAGCAACAACAAACTAGTAGTGCAGAAGAAAAGACTGGACTATTTACCATCTTAAGCTTCCGTAGTTCTTTACGAGCAACTTTTCCCCTCCATGCACATTGTATAGTAACTGCACCCTTCTTTGCCTTGGTGAAATGCAAGYGGGCCAAGTACTTGCGGCAATGGCTCTGTATTCAAGAATTAAAGTGAGCCAAAATCAAGATTATCATTCACCAAAATTTAGGCATCAGGTAAAATAAATGACACCTCATTTATACACTCATCTTTCCTTGAGATGCTGATCAGATATGCATGCAGTATAGACAGTACAAGAAATCCAACATACAGGAATGCAGAATAAAATAAGATTTTGTAACATCTGATTGAACAAAGAAAATATTATGTCGGATTGATGGTGATCATCAATAATAGGGCTAAAGTTACAAGACCTGAATAAGGATTGCTGCTTTTGTCTGCCTTCTAAATCGAAGCTCGTTACGTGCAGCCATCCCCCGTAAACCTGTTTGGATAGAAACAGCAGAGAAGYGAAACTCCTTGTAAGCTTTCCTAGCAAGATACATCCGCAAATTTCTCTGAATCCGTAAACAAGAAGCTTCTCTCCTCATGCTTTCATAAACTCGCCGAGTAAGTTCACCTGTTCAAAATAAAGTAAAAGTGATCAACTTTAGATGCTTTGAGCTGTCTAAAAAAATAATTAACACATTCAACAAGAAAAAGTACCTCGGCAAACAGATTGAATTTGCAAGACAGATCGACGTAACAATACAAAAGATTTCCGAGCAATAAATGAACGAACTTTTCTCTGAATGATGCTAGCTGATCTACCTAAGACCTCAGTCCGGCGAGCATCAAGCTCTGCCATCTGACCAGCCCTAAGAAACACCTTTGTTTTACCAATCTGCATGTGAGCACACCAAATCATTATAATAGGTTCAAGAAATTGCCGAGTGGACAGATGAGCAAAACAGTGAGAACCAGCAGCTCAAACAAGAACGATAAACACATTTGATCATCTAGAAGTGCATGCAACCAATATGATAACATTCAAGGACTTGATGGTGAATGCAGTCATGTACTTCATGCAGGTGGTGTGTAACTATTCTTATATGTGTGAGAGCGAGAGAGACTATTAACTTGTAATAATGAAGGGTCAGAATCCAAGGATGCTGTGTTGGCAAGACTGTTGCAAAGTCCCCATGCTTCAAGTTGTTTGGTGTTGGCGCTGGAGGTAAGCAAGATAGAAAACGTAGCACCAATACAACTTAAGCTAACGTTCAATCATGCATCAACGGGGATAAACAATCAATCGAATCTTAAGTTGCAGAATCTTAATGTCACTTGCAGAATCTTAAGTTGTATAAAMGAATTATTCCCACTAACAGAAAAGCTAAATCTTAAATGGAATCTTGTATGTAGAAAAGCTTTCAACAAATGATATTGCAGTCCATCTACCTGATAGCCTTCAAGTCCAACCTTCTCCAGAAGCCTCTTACAAGCATGAATTTCATCGCTACTATCATAAGACAGTCACAAGAACAAGGGATCAGTTAGTTATCACACCATACACTCAAGTTTTCAGAGAACAGCAAACAGGATCATTYCACTTACTTGCCATCCAAAACTTCAGRAGCCAAGATGCCAAATCGATCCACAAACTCGTCAAATGGTTTTCTGGTAGGATACCCAGCACAACTTATCCTGATTGCCTCCAAGACTCCCTAAATTRAATTGTGTCTACCAATTAAATATATACAGCAATTCTATTCAAAAAAAGAACAGGAGCAAAAGAATAAWTGGAAGAAAAATGATGAAAAATAACGCTATTATTGGGATGTCATGTATATCCTTAATTCCTTACCCCACATCGGAGTTGTTGTAGAACATTATGATTTTCAAAAATAGCAGGCTTGAGRAGATTGTTAGGCTTTACACAACGAATATAATGAGGCTCAGTTGAACTCAAAGTTTCTAGCAGTTGTTGCAGTTGTTGCTGACACCAAAAGAGAAGACRAACAAGAAAAGAAATGTGTTATTTATGTATATGCATGTTGTTAACATGKGTGAGAGGGAGATAGAGGGTGAGAAATCATACCTTAAACCGCGAACCAATTGAAGAGAACTTTGATGATTTGGAGGAATCCTCGGATGAAATCGGAAACAAGCTTGAAACGAAGGAACAAGTGGAAGCACTCAAGAGGGCTTGATGTTCAGCAATGACATAATCTTTGTTTTTATCCAAAAACAGCTCAGTTTGATATGTGACCTAAAGATACAAATCAAACTGATGATGCAGGGTTTCTCAAAACCAAAAAAGATTCATTCTTATTCTTAAGAAATTCAGTATTTAAAACTCGTTTTRGAAGAAAATTGTATATATGATGCAGAACTTACATCTCCGGCATAATGACAAATCGTGAAGTCTGAACGAGCCAATTTTGGCTTGGTGAAACGCTTGTGATTCTTGAAAGTTTGGTACAGCTTTTGTGCAAATGTGTCATGTGTTGACCTGGGAAACATACTGCAGAACCCAAGTAGTTGCTTACAGGATGCCATAAATTTATGTTCTTATATAGAACTAAATGAGTTGAAGGATAACAACCCATATATCTTGGTAGAAAGGAAAAAAAAGAGATAAAAGACCAGCATCCCATGTTTAACTTACCAAGCTTCATCTAGAAGAGCTATAATGCCGCCCGGTTTCTATTTAATAGGAAGACAATAGATCAGAACTGAAATTATATGAAACATTGATAACTGACATGCTCATCTCAAGTTAAACAATAACAATACACAAAGAGCAGCAGACAGACACAGGAGAAGGATGCACTAAGCAAGTAAACCAAACTAAACCAAACAAGCAGAAGGATACACTTAGCAAGTAATTAAAATAAATAGGCTCCACAATTTTTCATTAGATAAGATGTTCTAGTGAAATGTTTCTATTAAATATATGAATGATAAACAAAGGAGAAAGCTACATACTTAAGCATGGTACAGAAAAGAGATGCAGATGCCAATAAAACCAACAAATTACCAATACTAAAGACGTCTAGCAATATTGCCTTCAAGTGCCATAACCATCATGAAAAGTCTTCTTCCCTGACTGTCAAAGGCAAATATCTGAGGCTCGTTTCTACCTATATTTTCACCTTCTATAAAAATGGGTCCCCTAAATTATAGTATTACATTCATTTCAGCAGAAAACTTACCCAGAAACACTATCTTAATGTAGCTAGTCACCATTACTCCATTACTACCTGTAATCGGTACATTTGAGAGTTGAAGGCTTAAATACAAATCTGGCACCTAAAATATTGGCCTCGTTTCACTTCAGTAACTAAGCTTCTCTTTAATTTCATAACCTGAATGCTGTAGCATTTGATCATCATGAAGCAAACAATACCTTTTATATAGCTTCAACTAAATGCTACTGGAAAATGTTATCRCAATTATTTATCTAGAGCTTTTACGGAGGTGGAATTTCTGCTCCATGCCTCCATCATGTTATGAGTTTGTTGTTGGATGATACTAAAAGGCACACAAAGCAACTCATCTAAATGGACAAAAATAAAGCTTATAAATCACAAGAAAAAAAAAGCTACTATCCCATGCATCTGTTGCCTACACCATCTCCATTAACTCCACATCCAAACTATCTACATCACCATCACAGATACACTACAGCAAGCAAGTCCAACATTCTCAAAAACAATCTAATCGCAGTCCAAATTTAACTTGAACATAGTAAGTAGGAACATGAACCCTAGACCTCATGTTTAGTTTGTTGTATTCAATAATAATCCAGATAAAATTATCATGTTTTCTTCAGRAAATTGTAGCTCGGAGTGTTGGGTCATCTCATCAAAGAAGTAAGCAATGGAATTTCACCAATGTGATTAAACATGAAAGAAGGAAATGCAGTTACTATTATCCAAGGCAGTATAGTCGTTACTGTCTGCAGAAGGTAACATTGCATAKAGTAAAATTTAAGCATATAAACACCAAACCTTCTCAATGAGATCCAAGATATCTTGATTGTCAATAAACTCAATATAGCTCCAATTAATTTCTTCTTTTGTATATTCTTCTTGTTCCATTTTGAAGACATGCTGCAAAACAAAAATATCCCGCCAGATAACCATGTGTATATAGTATATTTTATATTTTCATGAATGAGCTTGACAAAGATGAAGTCCTCCTAAGCAACCTGATTAAAATGTTGTTGGAGTTTCTCATTTGTCAAATTGATGCAAAATTGCTCGAAGCTGCAAAAAATCACACTTGGTATAAGATATTATGCAACCATCTAACCATAGAAAATACCATTGTGACCAAAAGCTATTTAAACAAGCACCTCTGCTGCAAACTCTGTAAGTGCCCATTCAGCCGTAAAATTATCATACCGAGATCCCCGAGTAGTTTTTACTTAAGCTACCACCATTCAATTACATAAACAACCCATGTACAGCAATCTCACACAAATACTGGACAAACTGGCCAGAATTTATTCATTTCGGATTGAGCCTATAACTTTGGTTCATACTCACAGACCTAATCCCATTGAAGACCTCTAGTGAAATTTGTCCATAGAATCTTTTTAAGGTTATTGTCATGGTTGTATCTTGCCAGCATAACTAGTTTAAACATGCAGTAATTAATCATTTGATTGGTTGGTCAACATTTGTAACTCGATTCTTACAGACATTGCATCTCAGCGAATCCGAATGTTATTTAACATGAATGACCACAAATGTTCAAGACTCTTCAGCTTTATTTTCGGTGATTTGCTTTTCAAAACTTGGATTTTTTTTTTCTCTTTTTGGTGACATTGGCAATTGGGACATGGGAAAAGTACTTTGGGGGTCATCACCTAATGAAGCCCAGTAGGCAAYTCCTAGAAAGGTTATGCCATTTAGCATAACCGGCCAACAATGAAAACAAAAGGCATACCAGTGAAGCACCTGTTTGTCTTGAAACTCTCAAATCCATATATGTCCAGCACTCCAATTATGTATTTTGAGTCTGGGTCTTGACCGATTGAGCTATTAATCCTATCAACAAGCCTGCAAAGCAAATTGGATAATATAACCCACAGTGCAAAACTTGAACATACACGTATTCGTTTAAGCTAATGAAAATCTAATTAGTCGGCATGAAACAACCATGTGTAGCAGGAGTGAAGCTTACCAGTCAAATAACCTCGAGTAAACAACTTTTGCTAATGCATCTCTACTGACAGCAGCAGATTCCGGATCTAGCCATTTGGTGATGGTCTCATCACGTGTTACAATTACACGTTTGCATAGAGAATCCTCTAAAGCTTTCACRTCACACCTGAACAATTTTTTAGCTAATTAGTACATTTTTTGTACTTATTCTGTGACAAATGWTTCAGTATATGGCAGTCTATCATCTTAATGTGTGCATGTGTGATGATTTTGGATACTCACATGAACAGCTCCGCAGCGGTTTTTAGGTGGAACCAAGATTTTTCATCTTTGGGCGTAGATGAATCCATTTCCTTTCCTTTTGTAAATTCTATGTTCCCCAGATGAAGGATCGCAGCTACAACCCTAAAAATTGCATCCTGTAGACAATAATAACAATAGGAAAACAAAAAAACTAAGATGAAGTAATTCAAACTTCGCKTTTTGAGTTTTTCTCTGTAAATGGCTTCTTTAAATATACCTGCTCCTCAGAGCTGATCCCAACAACATCCATTGCATTCCTTGTAGCAAAGTACTCTTTTGATTCATCTAACCCATCTATCTTGTAGCTATTTGATTGATTAAGATAATGGAATGTCCTTGGATCTCCCACTTTGTATCTTTTTAGATCCTGGAAGCATGATWGCAATATTAATACGGAAAAGATACCAAAGACGGAGATTCAAGAGARCATATTGAATAAATAGATTAGAAAAACAAAGATCAAACAAAAAACCAAATCCAAATAAGCATGTGTGAACCTTTATTGGTGACCATTAAAAGAGCACAGTTGATACACGAAGGTACCAACTACATTGCCAGTACCAACCATAAACAACCACATCACAGTGGATAAAAAGCAGCAGTTTCGCTCTAATTTTTGGAACATAACTTCTATAGGATAGGTCAAACCTTTTGTGGGTTTACGGTACAATAAAGAARATAAATAAAGTAAAAAGATATGTTTGAGATGGAACAGTAAAACAAATGTAAGAAATAGGATGAAGACAAATTACCTCCGGCGGTGCAGCACAAAGCATGTAGAAGCAATGATAATTCCTCTCAGGATCCGATAGTTGACAGACACGAGATCTTTCCAACAAATAAGTTCTGATAGCAGCYCCTGAGATTCTCCCCTTCTGATCAAACTGAATCTCCACAAACTTGCCGAAACGACTGAAGCAGTAGCAACAAGCAAGCATCAACAAYTAATATACAACGGATGTAAGAATTTCAACGTAATAGCAAAAGGAAGTTACTTGCACCTCGAATTATTGTTTCGAACAGTTTTCGCATTACCAAAAGCTTCCAAAACAGGATTGGACTACGACATGGAGAAAGCATAACAAYGGTTTGATTAATAATTAATATCTAATAAAGAAACTTGGTTGTAGGATTGTCATCCGCAAGCACAATCATCTTGGGTAACTSAATGTAAGAGTAAACACCTCTAGGACTTTCTGTTCAACACTCCTTCCATCCGTAGAAGCTCTACCTCCCATGTAAGCAAGATAGCGCATCAGCTGTTTTGTGCTTTCAGTTTTACCAGCTCCACTCTCTCCACTAACCAAAATAGACTGACTAATCCCTTCATTGATCATAACCCTGCACCAGAACAATGGATTTTTTTCACTTTGCACAACTTTCTGTAGTTCCTTGATTAACATACCATGGTATGAATGTCAAACAGTACCTGTATGCTGCATCTGCAACTGCAAAAGGGTGGGGACTCAATTCCCCAAATGCTGCCCCTTTGTACTGGGCCATCATATGGCTATCATACAAATGTGGCAATCTTGTGAAAGGATTTACAGCTATTAATATACTCCCTGTATAAGTCTGATACATGATTTAAGTTTGTTACTTCAATCGCATATCTGAGAWGTTTGTAAAAAGAGCATGTGTCCTGCCTGGGACAAACAAGAGGGAATAACAGAACTCACATATATCTCGTTAATATCATATCTAGATCTTAAGTTATTTAAAACCCCTGGTTCATGCAAATAAGCCAGCTTKGTCATATCATCCACTCCGCATGGTGGTGCTTCGGCATCTTTGGGATATACATTTGATGACTTGGCAACAACCTACAATTAGAATCAAGAAGAAACAAAAAAAAATCCTGATTACACAAATACCTTRCATCCATATCTCACTTGCAAACCAATCGTGTGAAGTTTTGCATAAATACAAAGTATGCAAGAAAAGAGAAAGCTCTCCTTGACTAATCTTYCAATCAGGTAACAAGATAACAAATAAAAATGAGACAGATAAATTAAATAGCAGATTATCATTGAAGTTTGAACAATAATTGTCAGCTCAGAATACGTTTGCATCAAAAGCCAGAGGTGAAGGAACACTACTCACCGTCTTGCCTGAAGTAGAAGCAACCTTGATTTCTTCACYGGTAACCGCAATAACTTCCCCATCCATCCAAGCCTCATCTGGATCCTCCACCCAGACAAGTGATCCGACCCCTAGACTGACTGCCGCCTACATACAGTAACAACATTTGGAAAGTGTTCATCTTTAACACGTGCAAACGTCCACCAAAATAAGTTGTTATTCTTTAAATATATATTTTGTGATCAAAATGACCATTAATCCAATAAGTAAAATGACTATAAGCATTAACTCAGGAGCTGTTATTTAATAAATGCATGTCCACACAGAAAAGAAAAAAAAATCTCAGTTCCACTGCTATACCAAAGCACCATATTATGTACACAAAKACAAATTGAACATGTGCCCATATATCAAAACAGATAACATCAGTATCCTATTGATCTTCTGGCCTTGACCAATATGTTTTGAAGTTGGGAATCCTTCAGTATGATATTCCCTCAACATATGGACTAAAATTCAAAACATGTCCATCTAAGAACAAGAGAGGCACTTYTGTTAAAAAAATTGTTCTACCATTTTGGGTCCTCCCTCACCAAGTCACCAGTGAAGTTCTCAGCAGATGAATAATAACAGAAACACCCATCATCCTATTGCAACTATCTGACTTCTTTGAAAAACCATGTGCTAACCAGATCAACAATGTAGATGAAATTAAATTCAGAACAAACACATTCATCACCAAGGCAACTTCACATTAAACTACCAACCGACACAAAGGTAGCTCAGCGCCAGGCGCACCCTAGGCCCAAATCTAAAATACACAAATTTGACAAACTCCATTAAACACCATTCATGTACACTAATTAATCAGCACCGCTTTTTCCGCCTTCAAAAAAATAAAATAAATAAATTTACACAAATTAATCGCAACTAAAGAACAATAAAGAAGTGAAATATGCATCTGTTAATATCAAATCAGCAACATTCCACATCAAAAAAAGAAASGTAGATCCTAATCAACTAAAATTTCAAAGTAAATACTGCAAATTAATTAAATGAATATTTAGAAAAAGTACATACCATTTGCAATTAAACTTGGATCAGATCGGCAAACGGCAGCACCTCAAMTCACTTCAATCCAACAATAGATCAACTACAGCTCCTACCTTTGCTTCATTAAATAAATTGAACAAACTAATAAACAAATAAACTATTTTATCCCTTCCAAAGACAAAAACTTAATCCGTAAGAAACAACAAATTGTTCCAAGCTGAAGTGAAATCGATTAAGAACGGATACAGATCAGGCAGCAGAGCAGAGATCGAGTTGATTGACGGTGGCGGTGGTGGATTTGGAAGTCGGATTTTGAAGGGAAAATGGAAATCCCTATTTTTTCGATGAATGACGACTGTTTCTTCTTCTTTTCTCTTCGTTTCGCTTAGCTGGGGTTCCCTCCCACGTTGTTCGGAATTGCTCTAAATTCTATTTTTCATGATTTTAAAAAAAAACATATATTTCACGCTAAATAATAAAGATAAATAAATTATGACGTGGATCGGTGGATGTATTTCACGGATTTTAGATTTCAAACTTTTGATGATAATAATACAAAAAATATATATGTATGAAATAATACTAGTTRYGTMCCCGTGAAATGYGKCGGGAGCCAWGAATTTTAATGATTTTGAAGTTTYACTGRTTTTATAAGATAAGATTTAATGATGATATAGGTTACACTTGGTCTTTACATATTAGTACAATTTGAATAAATAAGAGTTATGGTTCCAATTACAGACTATCGATGAAAAAAAATGTATGACAGTTTAAAATCCAATATATTTAAACGACTCCACAAATGCGTTCGATTTACACCAAGAGCAAAGAACCAAGAAACTTAAGTTTTAAGATAAACATTCAAAACCAATAAAGAAAATTACAAATTTGACAGATCATAAGCTATGAAATAACCAAAAAAGATGGGTTTTATAATGAAACTTCAACTATTTACCCGTTTTCTTGTCGGGAAAGTCAAATTAAGATTGAATTAATACATGTATATGTATATATTTCAAAAAAAACCCAAAAATATATTAATTAAGAACATATTGTACAGTGCAATTTGGACAGCTGAACTCCAAAATATATAGTATATATATAAATAAATAACAAAAGTATAAATCGTAAATATTAAAAATATTTTTTCACAGTATATATAATATATAATAATATAATTAGGTCAAAAATTATTCAATATTGAACTCATTTCGAAGGTATTAACGAGACGATTATAATGGTGTAACTTGTTAAAATAGAAATTTATTTTTTAAACATATTTTAATTGATATACGATTATGTATGTTAATTCGATAAAGGTTTAAAATAAACATTTAAAAGTAAAGGACGTCAAGTAAATTAATTAACTAATTATAGGGATATAAAATGTAAATTTAAAATTATAATTTTAAAAAAATCGGTTGTGAGATGGTGAGTGTATGTGAGGGGGTGGGTGTATGTGAGGGGGTGGGTGTATGTGAGGAGGGGGGAAAGTGAGATAAGGATAGTATAAAGGGTATATTGGTCATTTAGTATTTTAAGACTTTAAGACTTTTAACGTTTTTGTTAAATTTGTTTAATAAGATAGTATAGATATAGGCTATTTGTGTATCCGTGCAATATGGCGGGAGCCGTGAATTTTAACAATTTTAGAGTTTCACTAGTTTTATTAGAGAAAATTTAACGATGATATAAGTTACACTTTGTCTTTACATGTTAATACAATTTGAATAAATAATAGTTATGGTTCCAATTAAAGTCTATCGATGAAAAAAAATTGTATGACAGTTTAAAATCCAACATATTTAAACGACTCCACAAATGTGTTCGATTTACACCAAGAGCAAATAATCAAGAGATCAAGACCGAGACCGAGATTTCTAGAGCAATTGAACGGGAGATTTTTTAATAACTCATGGTGAATATCAATTTGAATCTCACATTGGGGGATGGGAAGAAGACACAGATGTGTAAGAGGGTGAAGACATGAGTGAAATGTGTCAAAAGTATCTTGAGAACATGAAGAAAAAAAAAAGATAATAATGTGCATTGGTAACTTATATTATCTGTCATTTTAATTATAGGTTAAGAGATTTTAAGACTGAATACATAAAGTAATAGTACTTAATGCATTATGAGTTGTTTTTAAAACTTTGTCCATAAATGTATAGTACTTTATGCATTAAAAATTATTTTTAAGACTTTTGATAAATCTGATTTATAAGATATTATATATATCCGATAAGCACTTATCAGGTAAAAATCGTCACCTTCAGTTATTGGGTAAGACTCTTCATCCTCGTCTTTGTTTTTACCAAGTAAGAGTCGTAAGATATTTTTAATTCTATTTTTTTTGTTAATTTGGAAATAGGCTTCACGCCAAAGTTTAAGGCATTTGTGTAAATTCTAGCTAAAATATAAWTTTGGTTWTAAAAATGACTAAAAAGTGAATTTGGTTGAAAAGAGTGGTCATTTTGGTCAATTTCCCTATTTAGGGGGTGCTTATGCAAACGTTTAYCAGGTTARCGTTTATCAGTAGGAGTCAACACTCTAACTTACTTAAACGGGTAAGATTGTAGTTTATCAAAAAAAGGCATTGTATGTAACAATTACCCGATAAGCGTTTACYGGGTAAAAGTCATCACTCTTAGTTATCGGGTAAGATTTCCCATCCTCTTATCGAGTAAAAGTCATAAAATGTTTTTTCAAATTTTTTGTTAATCTAAAAATAAGCTCTACACAAATGCTTAAGGCATTTGCATAGAATCTCACCGAAATAGGAATTTGGTTCGAAAAACGACTAAAAGGGGAATTTGGTTGGAGATATTGACTATTTTTGTCAACTTCTCGATTTTAAGGGCCACATATGCAAATGTTTACCTGGTAGATGTTTATCAATAAGAGTCAACTTTTTAACTTACTTTACTAGATAATATTGCAATTCATCAAAACRGTATCGTATGCAACAATTTACCTTGTAAYTACTTACCGGGTAAGAGTCGTCACTCTCACTTACTGAAGTAARACTCTCCATCCTCATTATTGCTTTTACCGAATAAAATTTCGGCTCTTGTCATGTTCATCCAGTAAGGCAAATGAGCATGTAACCGCTTATTTGGTAAACGGCTCTTCAAGTATTTTTAATGAGRTCGGTTCAAATAAAGAAACTAAATTCCATGATAATAACTGAATGTTTTATGTGAGTTATTGGAAAAATAGATACTGAAAATTATTGACTATTCATATGGATTCACATGTGAATGTTCAAATAAAATTTTCAATAATTAACATATGAATTTTTTTTTCCTATTTATCTTCCCATACTATTTAACTTTCTTATTTAAACCTCAGTTAATAATCTATATATAAAAGTGTGTTATGTGCATTGCAAATTTATGCATTTTTTATAATCAATTAAAACAATATTATATATGAAAATTTTGAGAATTATATGACCAAATCAATTATATAAAGACAAATTGCATAAAAAAGTAATGTACTTTATTTTGATTCATATTTATGGTAATGTATTTTTGAAACTTCTATTTTTGGTACCTAAGATGTAAAATTTTAAACGTTTAGGTACTCGGATAAATGGTTGAAGACTAATATTAGATTAAAAAAAAACCATGTCGCTAACCACGTCAGCAAATAATGCTGAGTTGGATACCACATCACTCGTCACATCAGCATGATAACCGGTTAATGCTTCAACCGATCACCGGGTACTTAAATGTTTAAAACCCTACATTTTGAGTATCAAAATGTAAGTTCTGAAAGTACGTTACCTAAAATAAGAATCAAGTTAATGTATATTATTTTTTCATGCAATTTGCGCTTTTAGAAATTTTAAACATGTCTTGAGTAAGACAATATGTTTATCAATATTTACGAAAAAATTGAAGTAAAAGTACAAGACATGTAAATGTCCTAACAGTAGAAGGCTCGACCAATTCATCTGCACGTACATAAAACAGATTGATAATGTTGTCTCGTAGTTTGTTTAAAGTAACGACTTTCATCCTTCTACTTTTAAATTTATGGTTTTCGTCTCCTTKGTTTGTAATTTATTGCTAATTTCTGCCTCTAAACCAATTCAC